CAAGTTGGCACATAACCATGATAACTGCCATTCACAATAGGATCCTTTAATTATACCGCTATTCCTTACCGGTCCATTGTCTGTAAAATCTATGGTGGTTATAACATATAAAGTATTCTTATGACGGGTGTTGCAGAATAAGCAGGTCACACTTTTATTTTTTGAACACCTGGTTGGTTCATTTGTGGTTTTTTCAAATCTGAGGAGACAATAAAAATAAAATCGATCTCGTCTGGTTTAAGTATAATTTATTTAGACTATAACACAATAAATGTAATTCTTTATATTTTTTTTTCTCTTATTTTTCAGAAAGAACTTTATCGTCATTCACATCTACTTTGATGAACTAAAAACCACAATTGTTAAACAGTCACCTGTCTATGGATCTTCAGTGGAGATATTTGGTCAGTTTTATATGTGATTACGTTTAAATTCACTACAACCTAATTATGTCCATTGAAAATACCAAATTTCGGGCGTCTGAAGCGCTTTTCTGGGTTTACCTTTAGCAGACATGCTTTAAAAGCCAGGGCTGTATAAACCCGTAGAACTGTTTGAAGCTATATACTAGTATCTAAAAAGGAGATAAAAAGAATAGCAAACGTCAACTTTGAATGAGAGTGTTACCTGTTAAAGATATATTATCTATATTCCCGAAAGCTAATGGAATACTAGTATTTAACTGATATTTATACAAAACAGAAAGCAAAAATTGTTTTGTTGCATGTAAATGAATTATGAATTATCAATGTTATTTCGAAAGAGTGCATTAATGTGTAGACTTGACCTTTCACTCATAACCATGACACAAAGTCATTCGAACATTGAATTTCTATGTTTGTGAATGAGTCGGCTGAACTTACGCATCGATACATGTACAATTCCTCATATTAAATTTGTTTTCTCTAATTGGGATTGATACACATGTGAGTTTCCTGATTCTTATCTTCACCAACAAGATTAATAAAATTGAGAATGGAAATAGGGAATGTGTCAAACAGACAACAACCCGACCAAAGAGCAGAAAACAGTATTAAGTCCACACCAAATCGTTGTATGATTACCCTTTTTTTCTGTTATTTTCAGGAAATCTCGGGGGACAGATGGGATTATTCCTAGGAGCCAGTATACTCACAATTACCGAACTTGGAGAATTTTTGGGATTTGTTTTGTGGTTTTTCTGGAAGAAATGCAAGGACAGGAATCGAACAAACTTTTCAAAAGAAAAGAATGTCAATGCCACACTCGAAGAAATGTAAACACGACGTGTAGATGTTCTTCCAGAATGGAGCGAATGGATTTTTTTTTCTGATCTCATCCCATGTTCATCAATTTTTTTCAATATTAATTTCTGTCCTTCATTGTTAGAAATGTTACCGGCACAATCTAAGGAAATTTGAAAATATTTACACTTTTTTGCGATATGTTTATGTAAGTTTTCGCGAAAATAAACTGATCATCACTAATTAAGACGTATTTTAGCTAATAATTTATTATCCTCAATTGAAATCCAAAATTGTTGTCATTTCTTAGGACTCTGGGCTGACCAGAGTTGTTTATAGTCAAAATCTCATCTTCCACGAGCTAGTTTATTGCAATTTCTTTGCCAATTTAGGTTTGCTAAGCACTTAAAATTAATTTACCAATAACACTGTTTTCCTACATTTAATGAGGTCCTTGGCAAATATTCCTATCACTTGTATACGATTTCTTTCTTTAGCCGAATACATGTTTTCAGTGGTGGATGTTTTTGGTGGGGGCGTAGAGAGCGTACTTTGATTTGAAAATTTGTCATTTTTTGCATAAAATCGTCCAAAAAAAATTATATACAAAATTATGTCATTACTCCAAAGAAGTAAAGCTCATTTTTTTTCACGTCAAATTAATATCGACGTGTCCATTGCCCAGTAAATCTCTTACCTACCTACCTAGTTCTTATAATGCCCGGAGGCACATAGGGCAAGGACTAGATCTTTCCACTCATCTCTGTTCTGTGCTTTCTTTTCTATTTCGCTCCAGCTGATTCCATGTTCTTTCATTTCAGCTTCAACTGTTCTTCTCCAAGTTGTTTTGGGGCGTCCTTTCTTTCTTTTCCCCTCAGGTGTCAGTCTTAGGGCAACTCTGGTCAAGTCCTCTGCTGGTCTTCTAAGAACATGGCCAATCCATCTCCATCTTTTTTGCGTCAATAAGGTCTCCATGCTGTTGGATCCTGTTGTTTCATAGAGGTCTTTGTTGGTGATCTTACGTGGCCAGAATATCCTTAAGATCTTTCTAAGGCAACTGTTGTGAAAACTGGAGAGCTTGTTGATGTCTTTTTCTGTCATTCTCCAGCATTCAGCCCCATATAGCAGCACTGCTAGTACACAACTGTTATATAGTCTAATTTTGGTGTTCTTGCTGATGTTGCTTGACTTCCAGATGTGACTTAGTTTTAAAAATGCAGTTCTTGCTTTTCCTATTCTGGCTCTGATGTCTTTGTCTGCTCCTCCTTCAGATGTTACTATGCTGCCCAAGTAGGTGAAAGATGAAGTGCAATCCAGGTGTGTCCCGTTTAAATCTATTACAGGAGGCTCTGAGATGTTAAGAGGCATGACTTCTGATTTCTTGATGTTGATATGCAATCCAATCATACTTGCATTCTTTTGTAACTTAGTGGTTTTGTCTTGCATGTGTGTTTCTAGATGTGACAGTAAGGCCAGATCATCTGCATAGTCCAGATCTTCTAGGTAGTTAAAGAGAGTCCACCTGATGCCTGTGTTGTTAATGCTTATGGTGGATTTCATTACCCAATCGACAACTATTATGAATAGAAGGGAAGACATAACACAGCCTTGTCTAACTCCCGATTTTACTAGAAAACTGATGTCTGATGAAGTTCCTACAGTGCATCTGAATTCTGTATAAAACATTTTGATAAGTTGTACTATTTTAGCTGGTATTCCATAGCTTCGTAAGATCTTCCATAAGCTTTCTCTGTGTATGCTGTCAAAGGCTTTTTCAAAGTCTATAAAGTTTATTATCAGTTGCCTCTGCCATTCTGTGCACTGTTCTATAATGTTTCGTAGCACAAATATGTGGTCGCAACAACTCTTTCCTTTTCTAAAGCCTGCCTGTTCTTTTCTGAGTTTGTTGTCAATTGCTGTTTTAATTCTATCTATTAATATTTTGCTGAAAATTTTACTTGGGATTGGTAATAAGGTGATTCCTCTCCAGTTATTACAGTTTGTGAGATCGCCTTTCTTAGCCAGTCTTATGATGTAAATCTCTTAAAACCTAATTAAACATTTTAAAGGAATGGGTTACTGTATGCTCTATGAATTCTCATATCACATATTCGTATGTCTATCCAGAAACATGGGTCTTTCATAAAACACAAAGAATACTGCATCCTTTTTCATATCAAGAATTATAGGCTACAATGCGTCATAGGTTTAATACTAACTTCTGTTTCAATTCTTCCTGTCCCAGTTGACACACAAATTTTGCTTTTTGGATCAACGGTACTCTCAGATGAGCAAAATAGTCTTTTATTTAGTTTGGTGCAAAAATATATTATTAAAAGCAAACGTTTTAACCCTTGATGTTACTGCTTCGCCTTTCAATAGGAACACAAGCATTTCACACTGTATACATTACAAAAATTCATGTTTATTTTTGTGTTATTTTTTCTACTTCTTCTCTAATGTTTTTTCCATATTTTTTCATATTCATATATTTATTACAGAGCATGCCAGTATTTTTATCCTGTAATTGGCCTTCTATTGTACAAATAACAGGTGTACAAATAAATTTTTGCTTTATTTGTATAGTATGCAAATTATGCATTAGGCCCCGCCTACTTGTTACCGGAACTATTTTTTCATCATCTTAACCTTGCGTGACCCTGCTTGACAACTATGTAAACAAAACGCCGCTATCGTTGACTGGTACGGAACATTTTTTTTTATTGCAAAACGTTCTGACTCAGGAACCAGCATAATAATGTCGTAAACAATGAATAAAAATAAACAAACAAACATTTTTTTTTAATTGTATTATTCTTATCCCATGAAAAAAAAATGTGGTTGAACAGATGCATTTTGTAAAAAAGGGGGGTCTCCTTTAATTGCTTGCTGCAAAAATATTTCGTCTGCAATTAAATTCGTCTGCTAAAACCAAACATGTCATCTGATTCTGAAGAAAATAATATGGAAATGCCTCAGTTTAGATTAATTTGGTCACCTTATGCTGAATTAACTGAAGATGATTTGATGGACAGAGACCTGCAGGACACCCTCACCCAGTTAGATAGGCCAAATGAACAAGATTTGACAGAAAATACTAACCCCACAAATCAAGTTCAGGAGGAAAGTCATTCTGAAAATTTAGAAAATGCATCTGTAAATCCACATTTTGACGCCCAATATATGGACATGACAGAACATGATATTGAACAATTTATTGAAGGCCAACAAAATAAAAACACTTTAACAAAAACAGTACGAGATATTGCCCTACTGAACAAATTTCTGAAAGCCAAAAATGAAAACAGAGAATTACAGACTATTCCACCAGTGGAATTGGACCCTTTGCTGGCCAACTACTTATTAACTCTTCGTAAAAAAGATGGAGGGGAATATGAGCCATCCACCTTGAGATCAATAGTCAGTAGTATTGACAGGAAACTAAAAAGACACAAATATGGCCATTCAATTGCTGGATCAACCACACACCAAGATGAGGCTTTTAGACTAACCAGGGAATCCTTGAAAGCAAAGCAGAAGGTACTTAAACAGAAAGGCAAAGGAAATAAGCCCCTACGATCACAGCCAATTACGGACGATGAAATTAACATTCTTTATGAAAGAAATGTCTTGGGTGACAGCTGTCCTGATGCCCTTCTACGGACTATCTGGCTGAACAACTGTGTTCATTTTGGACTTCGTGGTGTACAAGAACACTATACACTAAGGTTTGTGACATATGTCAAGCAATTTTTCATAAATGTATAATGCACATAATAAACAATCAATATATTTAATATTTGATTTAATACATGTACTTGATAAAAAAATATATTAACAGCAACAACAATTTGCAAATAAACCTTCATCTGATTATTTTGCAGTCATTTAAAAAAAATCTTTAACATATATGTATTGTACACTCGACTCCCTCCTGTATGTATTATTCCACTATTTATCATCCGATCATAATTATTCATTATCATCCTACCTTTATTTAACATTCACATGTGTATCATGTGTATAAATGTTAGCTTCCAAATGGCATATAAATTTGCCGTATGAATTTGTATAGTATTGTCCATATATCACGTAACATGTAGATCTTTTTCTGATTCGCTGTCCTTTGAATATATGAAACGAAAACATACAATCCATCCATCATTCAGGAAATAGATTAATCACACAAGCACATATTCATTATAGTGGAACATTGATATTCTTCTCTTCTACACTAAAATTCCTAATCCTGCTTGTTGAGCATAATATGGCTCGCTTTCTATATATTTAGTACACTATACAAGAGTGCACACGCTGAAATGTCTCGCCTTCTTTACTTATCATTGATATTATGTTGATAGTCCTAAATATAAAGCTTTATTACAACTGTCACATAAACTTAACATTAACCAAGTAAACTAAACATTGACCAATGAACCATGAAAATAAGGTCAAGGTCAGATGAACCATGCTAGGCAGGCATGTACAGCTAACAATTCTTCCATACAACAAATATAGTTGACCTATTGCTTATAGTTTAAGAAAAACAGACAAAAACACAAAAACTTAACACTGAGCAATGAACCTTGAAAATGAGGTCAAGGTCAAATAAAACCTGCGTGACTGACATATAGATCATAAAATATTTCCATACACCAAATATAGTTGAACTATTGCATATAGTATTAGAAAAAAAGACCAAAACTCAAAAACTTAACTTTGACCACTGAACCATGAAAATGAGGTCAAGGTAAGATGACACCTGCCAGCTAGACATGTACACCTTACAATCATTCCATACACCAAATATAGCTGACCTATTGCATGCAGTATTAGAAAGAAAGACCAAAACTCAAAAACTTAACTTTGACCACTGAACCATGAAAATGAGGTCAAGGTCACATGACACCTGCCAGCTAGACATGTACACCTTACAATCATTCCATACACCAAATATAGTAGACCTATTGCATACAGTATAAGAAAAACAGACCAAAACACAAAAACTTAACTATAACCACTGAACCATGAAAATGAGGTCAAGGTCAGATGACACCTGCCAGTTGGACATGTACACCTTACAGTCCTTCCATACACCGAATATACTAGACCTATTGCTTATAGTATCTGAGATATGGACTTGACCACGAAAACTTAACCTTGTTCACTGATCCATGAAATGAGGTCGAGGTCAAGTGAAAACTGTCTGACGGGCATGAGGACCTTGCAAGGTACGCACATACCAAATATAGTTATCCTATTACTTATAATAAGAGAGAATTTAACATTACAAAAAATCTGAACTTTTTTTTCAAGTAGTCACTGAACCATGAAAATGAGGTCAAGGACATTGGACATGTGACTGACGGAAACTTCGTAACATGAGGCATCCATATACAAAGTATGAAGCATCCAGGTCTTCCATCTTCTAAAATATAAAGCTTTTAAGAAGTTAGCTAACGCCGCCGCCGCCGCCGCCGCCGCCGTAGCCGCCGCCGGATCGCTATCCCTATGTCGAGCTTTCTGCGACAAAAGTCGCAGGCTCGACAAAAATGTATAATCCAAGTGATATTATTTGCACTGCCATCGTCACACCAAATCTGAAACAAGAGTGCACACGCTGAAATGTCTCGCCTTCTTTACTAATCATTGATATTATGTTGATAGTCCTAAATATAAAGCTTTATTACAACTGTCACATAAACTTAACATTAACCAAGTAAACTAAACATTGACCAATGAACCATGAAAATGAGGTCAAGGTCAGATGAACCATGCTAGGCAGGCATGTACAGCTAACAATTCTTCCATACAACAAATATAGTTGACCTATTGCTTATAGTTTAAGAAAAACAGACGAAAACACAAAAACTTAACACTGAGCAATGAACCTTGAAAATGAGGTCAAGGTCAAATAAAACCTGCGTGACTGACATATAGATCATAAAATATTTCCATACACCAAATATAGTTGAACTATTGCATAAAGTATTAGAAAAAAAGACCAAAACTCAAAAACTTAACTTTGACCACTGAACCATGAAAATGAGGTCAAGGTAAGATGACACCTGCCAGCTAGACATGTACACCTTACAATCATTCCATACACCAAATATAGCTGACCTATTGCATGCAGTATTAGAAAGAAAGACCAAAACTCAAAAACTTAACTTTGACCACTGAACCATGAAAATGAGGTCAAGGTCAGATGACACCTGACAGCTAGACATGTACACCTTACAATCATTCCATACACCAAATATAGTAGACCTATTGCATACAGTATAAGAAAAACAGACCAAAACACAAAAACTTAACTATAACCACTGAACCATGAAAATGAGGTCAAGGTCAGATGACACCTGCCAGTTGGACATGTACACCTTACAGTCCTTCCATACACCGAATATACTAGACCTATTGCTTATAGTATCTGAGATATGGACTTGACCACCAAAACTTAACCTTGTTCACTGATCCATGAAATGAGGTCGAGGTCAAGTGAAAACTGTCTGACGGGCATGAGGACCTTGCAAGGTACGCACATACCAAATATAGTTATCCTATTACTTATAATAAGAGAGAATTTAACATTACAAAAAATCTGAACTTTTTTTTCAAGTAGTCACTGAACCATGAAAATGAGGTCAAGGACATTGGACATGTGACTGACGGAAACTTTGTAACATGAGGCATCCATATACAAAGTATGAAGCATCCAGGTCTTCCATCTTCTAAAATATAAAGCTTTTAAGAAGTTAGCTAACGCCGCCGCCGCCGCCGCCGCCGTAGCCGCCGCCGCCGCCGCCGCCGCCGGATCGCTATCCCTATGTCGAGCTTTCTGCGACAAAAGTCGCAGGCTCGACAAAAAATGAATGCTTGTAAATAAATTTGAACATGAAAAACATAATATATTATTTATTCTCCATACACATTGTAACACGAGGCAAACAAGTGACACTTCTATATATCTGACTTTAAAATTGCTAAAACAGAAGATATTTATCATGTTTATATGTAATATAAGTACAGTTAGTTGTCCAAACATGAATCATTTATTTTGTATGAGCTATATAGAAATATTGTGAATGAAATGTATAGGTTGCTAATAATTTATACTGTTTAATTGCGATTTCAAATAAATTACATATTTTCAACAGCAAAAAAATATTATAGGTCGAAGGAAGGCCTTCAACACGGAGCCTTGGCTCACGTACACCAAACAGCAAGCTATAAAGGGCCCAACAAATTACAATTACTAGTGTAAAACAATTCAAACAGTAACAGATACACAGTCAACCCCTAAAAATTTTAACAAATTAATATAATTAGAATTAGCGTTATAATTTTTCAGATGGGGTGATGTAACCTTGAATACATCCACAGATGGTTCCCAATATTTGGAGTTAAACGAAAGACAAACAAAAACAAGGACTGGAGAAAACATATCAGATGTACGGGAGATTTCACCTAAAATATATCAAAGCCAAGGAGACCGTAACCCACTTGATTTCTATACTTGTATGCCGCAAAGAGACCAATTGGGTTTAGTACACCAGAATCTCCCTTTTATTTGGCCACACGCACCATTCCACTTGAAGACAAGAGGTCTGACATCTGGTTTTTAAGACAAAAGCTTGGGGAAAGAAAACTAGGATCAATGGTGAAAACTATGAAAGAAAGGGGGGATCTAGACAAAAACAAACGGCTCACAAATCATAGTGCTAGAAAGTATCTCGTGCAAAAGCTAAGGGAAAATAATATCCAGGGAACAGATATAATGCAAATTTCAGGACACAAGAATGTTGCCTCTGTTAACAATTACAGCACTATTTCTGAAAAGCAGCAAAAGAATATCTCAAATATTCTCAGTAATACAACAACAGATGAAAACATGGTGGTTGTGCCATACACACCACAAACTGAACAATCAAACTTACCTAGAAGGACATCAACAGTTACTGGACCCGTGGCAACGTCAACTATCTCCGCTCCCGCTGTTTGTCAGTCTGATCATGATAATTTGTCGACTTCTTTCTGCTCTCAGACAAACCTGTCCAACCAAATTCAATCTATGTTTTACGGTGCAACGCTCCATGTTGGCACACTTAATGTGTACACACATCCACACAGTGAAAAGCCCGCTCAATAGTTGAACTGATCGATTTCGATCAAAACAAATGTGGTACTGTTTCAATTGTTACAAGTACGTTTACATTTATCGACTCATATTGAATAAAAATACTTGTTCTTCATCAATTTTATTCATTTCACCACTGTATGAAAACTATTTGCAACGTGGCACGTCATTATTGCACAGGTAAACACTAGAAGGAAGTATCTCTACGCAAAATGGCCCCAATTGGGGGAACTACTATTTACAATTTTAAAAATAGCTGAATTGCTTAAAAATCCCAAAATAAACAAAATTACAGGATAAAAACAATATTAATATAGTGTAGAAAAATATAGAAAATATTTGTACTCGGCGCAAAACAAGGGAAAAATAGCTCGGCAAAGCCTCGCATTTTCCCTTGTTTCTCAGCCTCATACAAATATTTTCTATATTTTTCTACACTATACTAATATTGTATATATATTTATGCATTGTTCAATAAATGTATTATTTGTGTAAAAGGAGACAGATTTGTAAAAGCAAATTTGCTTGTTTCTGAATTCTTAATATTTATTTCATTTGTATAATACAAGTACAACCAAACTTCAAAACCACATCTTTATATCCATGGAAGAATTTAGTAAAGGTTTTAAGTAATTTGTGGTAACGAAATCCATGACTTAATAATTTACCAGTAGTACATAGATTACATTCAGTGAAATCCAAAACGCCACAACAGACACGGGCATGGCGAACGAGTTGTGATATATAAACACCATAAGATGGTGACAAAGGAACATCACCGTCCAAAAAAGGAAGTTAACAAAAGGGAACGAAAAATCGTCCCTTTTGTCATAAATTTTAGTGTAGAGTTTCCAGTGTAAAACTGAAATTCTTAATCTAGGAAAGGACAGTTATTACCGTTTATATTTGATTAGTTCAAGGTAAGTTCCTTTTGGTAAATTTCGGTAGTATATTTAGAAAATTCTTGATTATTTAATGAAAAAATATCATCAAGATAACGGTAAGTGTCGTTAAATTTATCAATTAAATGCAATTTAGATAGATCTTTACCGAGTTTGGTCATAAACTGTGATGCATAACAGTACAAGAACAAGTCTGCTATTAAAGGGGCGCAATTGGTGCCCATATGAATACCTACAACCTGTCGATAAACTTTATTGCCGAAACGTACATAAATAGTATCAAGGAGACAATTAACAGCTTCAATCATCTCATCACACTTCCAGTAAGAATATATGTAGTTTATTTACCCTCTCATTAGAGAAGAAGGCTTTAAATGAGTTGCAGCAAATATATTTGCATTCAGATTTACCAAACGACCATTTAATTAAACAGGAAAACTTTTGCTTGATACGATTGTGTTGAAATGTAGTGTAAAGAGTTGAAAAGTCAAAACTGTCAACAGAATCAACAGGACAATCAATAGCATAGCACGTAATTTATTTAAGACATCCAAAGAATTTTCTACACTCAAAAAATAGTTAATTCCACTATTTTCAAATATTTTATTACAAAAGTTAATGATAAGTTGTCTGATAGAAGTTAAGGAACTAGTTAAAAGCACTGAAAGATTAGTTGTAGAACACTTACTAGAGGCCGAGATGAAACAATAGTTTACTGGTTTTTTGTGTAGTTTATGTAACCAATATATAGCAGGGACCTTCAAATGTTCAGAAGAGACTTAAGCTGTGATGTGGTTATATATTTTTGTCCTTTTTTAAAAAGTTTTAAACCTCTTGAACGATATTGGGATCCCCGTAATAACATGGCCATTAAGGGATCATATCTAAAATTCGACGATTCACAGTCTCAAGTTAGAGGAGTATCATTATCTACATTGACGTCTGATATTACTGACGTATAATTAAAAATTAAACTTCTGCAAGTTATTTTTGTATGTATACGAAATAATAGGTGGTTTCGTGTTGATCAAAATAAGGAGGTATAAGGGTTTGAATGGTAGAGTCATTACATATACTCGATAAGTTGATGAAATCAATACCTTAGTTAATATGATCTTCATGTTTATCGATACGCGGGAACAGCCTATGGTGGCAAAAAGCTGTAATATTCATGGAGTGGGCTGAAGAACGAGATTGTTCCACACTCCTTGAAAATATCATGTATTTACTAATTGGTATTTGATCCAGTTTACATAACAATTGATACCTACCATTGTTTTAAATATAGATAAGATATCAACAAGTGTATAATTTATAGGATGGTTAATTCGTTGATTTCGATTAAAAAACTAGTTTAAGCATGTGCTTTATGTACGCAACTTTTATTAGTAGAAAAATTAAGTGAAAATATTAAACTCCGGTCTTCTATATCGTGCAAATTAAGTAAGAAAATACCCAAAAAAATTCTGCAAAGTAAACTGAAGAGGACATAACGTAAAAAAAAACCGCGGAAATACGTAAATTTGGTTACGCTGATACAATGTATATAATCATTTCCAAAACCATGATAAATTCAACCCTAATTTTCAAAACTGTCAATGCTTAAACAGCTATCTGTTTTTCCAGATACCTTAGGTGAAAATATAATTTAGTACATCTACCATAGAATATTAATGCACAATCACTGCCAAGTAATTAGGGAATCATAGTCGTCAAAATATATATTTATCTTTCAGCAAAAGTTTTATTCATGCATATTTAGTTGTTACATGCAGTTTTAGTAATCAGCAACGTAAAAAGTAATATGTTTTGTCAGAATACGTCTTCTTTTACAAAATGTTATATTATAATTGACGCTGATTGTTTCATCGGGATTGGTGGTGAACAGTAATTGTTGTCCTTATACTAATTATATGTCTTCTATTGAGGAATTTAAGTTATAATTATTGCGATTTGCTAGAATGTTTTACACAAAATTCATATTTTGCATTGTTGTCTATTCGAAGCTTCTTCCTAGATTGACCTTTGTGGCACCGTTAAAGTCCACAATTCCTCTAAAGTCCACAACACCGCTAAAGTCCACAACAAATTTCCCCTTAAGTCCACAACGCCGCTAAAGTCCACAAACTTTCCGCTAAAGTCCACAAAATGACCTCCGCTAAAGTCCACAAGAAAACATCGTTAAAGTTCATCGGGAAAGCTCAACACCAAAATTGTGAAAGCAAAGGATATATTACATTATATTACCTGAATACATGCGGACCTTAATGACAAATAGAATAAAAATCCATCTGAGCTCAACTTTGTTGAGACCTTAGTCTCTTGATAATTTCTAAATTTATCAGCAGGGAATTAAGAAAGGTAAGATATAGAATGAAAGTCAATTCAACTGTAACATGTCAATAATTAGTTACTTGAAAATTACGTATTCCTATAAGGTTTCTCATTTTGCATGTTTTGGGCAGGCACAAAGATCATTATAATTTCTATCATATGATAGTTTTAACACCCTTCTCTGTCATCGATAAATTTATGAAACAATGAACAATGTATAATGCAGTTTCACTTTTCATTAATTGATTTTTTATTTATTTGTGTATATATTTTTTTTTTAATTTCTATTCATGGTTGACTTTATATAAATGAAAAAGTCTTTTGATTATGTCAATGTTTATTATGTAATTATAAATCAAATAATAAGAAAAGTCGAATCATTATTTATTTTGGGCTGGTAGTAACAACGCATATTGTAACATCAAAGTTTCGTCCCCTTAATTTTTACCAATACATAATGCTCGCATGTGTTATTTCCTTTGAATGATTTCACACTCTTAAGAAATGTTTTCAAACTTATATTGACTACGTGCAAAGATTTAACGGAAGACATGCTAAAAGCTGTGTATTCGCAGATGGTGGTATTGTGGGCAGCTGTTAGTATCAGTTGTTACGATCTGCTCTTTGATTAGTACTGAGCATTATTTTAGGATATTGACGAAGTTAAAAGCCTGTCTAGCACTAATTGAAGGGTTTTGTTTGGTTATAGTATTAAGCAGTTGAATCACAAACAAATATTTTGGTTTTCACTTAGTTTTATCATTTCTACTGGGAAAAGTGCTTTATGTTAAAACAGGCTTTAATAAGTATTTAAAAATGCACTTGCTAAGTAACTGTCAATCTCTCTTCTTAAAGGTTTCCTTGTTTGCATAAATTATTTGATTATAGATCAGACAGTATATGCAATAGTGGTGACAACTTTGAAACAAATATTTTGTCCTTCACCTTTGATCTTGATTTGGCGACCGGGCAAAAAAAAAGTACAGATAATGAGCTTTTGAGTAATATTTGTTTCAGATTTTTTAACATAGCGCCACTCGAAACCTTGCGCAAACGATGCGTCTGTTTCTCCTTTACAAGACCTATATAGCCATACCCCGTGACACCCCTCATTATTTTTCTCTAGAAGCAATGGAATAGGCCAACCCCCCAGGTTTTTTCCCAAAATTTTTCAAATTTCGAGCCTTAGTTTCAGATTTTTGAACACAGCGCCACTCGAAACTTTGCGCAAACGATGCGCCTGTATCTCCTCTACAAGACCTATATAGCCATACCCCGTGACACCCCTCATTTTTTTTCTCTAGAAGCAATGGAATAGGCCAACCCCCCGGTTTTTTTTTTCCAAATTTTTCAAATTTCGAGCCCTAGTTTCAGATTTTTTGAACATAGTGCCACTCGGAACCTTGCGCAAACGATGCGCCTGTTTCTCCTCTACAAGACATATAAAGCCATACCACGTGACACTCCTCATTATTTTTCTCTAGAAGCAATGGAATAGGCCAACCCCCCAGTTTTTTTTCCAAATTTTTCAAATTTCGAGCCCTAGTTCCGTATTTTAGAACATAGCGCCACTCAAAACCTTGCGCAAACGATGCGCCTGTTTCTCCTCTACAAGTCCTATATAGCCAATAAATCTAGGGTAAGTATATTTTGGCTCAAATGGTCTCTATATTTTTTTTTATTACCAAAAGTTACATTTCTGCAAATTTGGTTGTTAGTTCAATTACTAACAAAGACAACAAAGGTGCTATTTTTTTTTCAGGGAAGGACTACTTTTACATTATTCTAAATTGAAATATGTGCATTGGTGGTCTTACACCTACAACCAATCC